ACGGATGTCGACTTCTTTATAATGAGGATCATTTCGGAATATATACTTGCTCCTTCATCAGGTGAATTAATGCTACGAAGCAGAGAACATATATATGTACCTGTAAGAACAACAAAAGTAATAAGATAACAAAGGTGGAAACTAAACAAGGTAAGCCAACAGTTAATAAGCGCTGATGGATGACAGCAGGACTTTATCACTGGTTGGAAATAGGCAATGAACAAGGGGCAAACGGGAGGCAGGGGGTAATTAGCACTGATAGGAAATAGCAATAGAGTCTGGTGTTGAGGGATCTGAGGGTACATCCAATGTATTGGTGGACACAGTTGGAATATACATCCTCTGGGGTTGGGACTTGCGCTGCTGGTGCCTCTGCCATTGGCTCGGAGAATGTATACGGTTCAATTTGTCCATTGCTAATCACCTATCAGAGCCAATTAACTGTTGGCTTCCCTTGTTTCCACCTTTGTTATCTTGTTACTGTCTTGTTCTCACAGGTAAATATATATGTTCTCTAAGGGGCAGCAGTTATTTTGATCTGGTTGTGCACATTTTTAGTTTGTTTCCTCGTATATTCTATAGATCTTTACCAAGCATACCCAGAACCAGTAATGATAGTTGTATGTGCATTTGTAGCATTTTTATGAATTTATGTATTAATTTAGAACTTGACCTTCAAAGTGACATTGACCTTCCTCGGTGGTTTAGATAATCATTGATTTATATAATAAAATCCTATATAGAAAAGGTATTTGCAAACGGTGATAGGTATGTGTTGTATAAATCCATTATTAATGAAATTAACAATGTGAATACAACAAATGCACATTTTGACATTTTGTTACTATTTGTTTTAAATCATAACGATTATGTGTAATATGAACACTGCCATCTCATCATAAGGCGTGTCGGCTCATTTTGAGATATCAAATGGCTTGGATGATAATACTAATAGCTCATTTCGGTTCTTTTTCAAATAATTAAAAATGAAAATAGAGCAAAATATTTTTACTAATAACTCAATTTGCGAGAGGCTATATTTTAAAAAATAATAATAATTCCAGTCTACTAGAATTCAGTGGGACAATGTTTGAGTTTCTCCATTTTTACAACAGAAAAGTGCATTTTGACTGTATCTGCCACCAACCCATTTGACCACAACCACCATTTTCTAGTCTGTTGGATACAAAAACATAAGGAAAATCTCAGTTTGCTATTTCTACTATGGGGAGGGGTATGAGGGTCTGGCCACTACTCTATAATGTGAACTCTAGTAATTACCCGATGCTTCATCTGTCACACACTACAGACATTGTTTGCCTGTATGTGGGCTACGGTGCCCTTCCCCAACCAATTCCAGCTGAACTAAACTATCGTTGTCATTGTAAGAGTAAACCAATTTGTTTTCTAGATATTGGGGACAGATCATTTGGTACATTGTCATACAATTAACCTTTTATACAAACTGAATAACCTTCGTGGTCATTGGGTTCTTGATTGAGCCTGCTAAGTGCAGAATACCAGTAAGTGCATCGACTATTTGTTTGATTCATGTTTAGACAACTGAAAATGTTAAAATATCATCGTCGTAAAACTTAACAGTTACCGATAGTGAACCGAACGACACGATCACGTATTATTTCAGATGAAAGCATTGGTAATTCCTGCTTGAGTTCCGCGTTGATGGCTGCCTTTGACCCTGGCGTCCGGGTCAGAATTACTTGGATTAAGATACGTAAAACAACATGTGTCTTAAATATTGTTAACTCTTTACCAATAAGCTGTATCGACTTGAAACTATCTAGTTAATGGTCTTTGGCAAAAGAAACACAATGTCATGTCAGACATGTGATTATTGCACTGATATAGCGACGTACATGCACGTGTTTGTGTGGATGCTTGTACTAGCCAGGACTAATGCCGACTTCATAGTGCTATCCCACTGAATACCATTTCGCTGTTTGACATGAATACCGGGCGGATACTCTATCCACTAGACCGCGGAGGCGGCCCATGTCAAATGTACATAGTATGATGAAAACTAATATATGTTCCATGTGAGAAGGGGTGCGCGTGGACAAGTGGTCGACGCTATACTTTCATCATACGATGGATCCACTGATCGTAAGTTCCAACCCTGGATGACCTCCGATTCTGACCCTTGGTCTCTGTGACGCATCTCTGTGCTCGCGGGTTGGAGATGGCACAAAGTAACCAATGGAGTGAAACATGCACAAACCGCCTGTAAATAGACGTATTCCGGGTTCACAAAAACATTTCGATTTTGATAAATAACTACTTTGCATCATATCCTGGTGTAACAAAAATACCATAATTAGCAGACCCACTGTATGTGTATGATGCTATTTCATAAACCAGGGGGGGGAGGGGGGTAGCCTCGTGGTTAAAGCGTTCGCTCGCGACGCTGAAGACCCGGGTTCGATTCCCTACATGGGCACTTTGTGTGGAGCCCATTTCTGGATATTGCTGGAATATTGCTTAAAGTGGCGTAAAACCACAATCACTCACTTACTCATAAAACAGGAAGAATATGTAAACTGTTGTCGGAACGCCGATGAAGACCAATATCACGCACGACCTATGCAGTTTCAGTTGGGACAGGTATAAATTACTCAGCCAATATTATTTGTTATCAATTTATCTTTCAGTACCTATTCTAATGTTTACAAATAATTCCGAATTACTTAATGATACAGCCTTGTATATTCAACGCGTTCTGTATTGTAGAAAACATTTCACTTACAATATTGTGTCTCTACTCTGTGGACCCAAGGCATCTCAATTCGTGAATTTTATTTGGGCAAAAGACCAAATTAAATACATTTTTCTATATCTCACGGGTATGAGTAGTACTTGGTGTAAGCACGTATGACTCGTTCAGTTTCGTTCATGTACTCTACAAGTAATTCTATTTATTTTGAAAATAAGGCCAAAGCTTATACTCAGGGCGAATCTGGGATTCGAAGTACAACCAGCTGAACCTGGAACAAATAAGGAACGCAACTCTTAACAGCACTTTGTGGCGCCTTTACATTAAGGTTTATGCGTTAAATCTTAATGTAAAAAATATAATTCATTGAGAGTAACAACCCGCAACCCTTAATGTAAAAATTATCTTTTTATAGCTTATATGTCAGCTCCCCCAGAAGATCGAATGGTCGATCCCTAACTGACATGAAATACTCTACAGGCCGTATGCCTAATTCTTCTTCAATCAACAATGGTCTTACTACAAGATCTGCTTAACTGCTATAGAAACTGCATATCCGAAAAATATAACTTTTAAGTGGCTATATTTGACTCGGCACGGTACTTGGGAAACCTACGGTTTCTTATTCTAACCAAACACCATTGCATTGGAATTCCAGTCGTTTGTAATAACATTTGATTCTGGTGTATGCTTAACTGTCATATCCGTAATACTGCAAGAAAAAGTCCATTATTTTATGCCTAAAACTCTGTTAATAGACCATTCTAACAACCAACCATCATCTACAACTTGGTCTGATCTGCTTGGGCTGAGTCCTCCTTTCCGTCGTTACGGTATTAGGATAGTCACGAGGTTACCTTGCAGAGTATCGAAAAATAACCTTTGTTATTAGTAAGTTTGATACAAATCGGTTATGAAGCCTGAATATAACAACCAGGAGGTCGTTGTAGAGTAGGAAAAATTATTAGTCATTTGCACATCTAGACAAAGTAACGATCAATTAAATCTGCGAAGTTGCATGAAAGTTCGATAAGTATTATTTCATAGTGATAACCCTTAATGTAAAAACAATATTATCTACCATTTCAACCCTTAATGTAAAACTATTTTTGTACATTAAGAGTTATAACAAGGGTGAACCCGCAACCCTTAATGTAATATATGTTTATATTAAGAGTAATGTTTACATTAAGGGTTGTAACAAGAGTTAACCCGTAACCATTAATGTCATTTTTTTTTCATTAAGAGTAATTTTTACATTGAGGGTTGTAACACGCCTTATACCTTTTCGTCCATATTGGTATAGCAAGTACGAACGTCAGCGTTGTCTGAAATATAAATGTAAACATAGCCAAAGCCATACTTCACACTTGCAGGAACAAAGAGTTTAAAAATACTGACTTGGGATATCTTGCACAGCAAATTGAAAATATCTATTAATTCCGTATTGCCTGGCAAACAATAACGACCCAATTTGATTTCAGGATAAACAAAGAAGAGACTACAGTCAAAGGTTGCAAGAATCTCATTTTCCTCCAACAAACAGTCTTTCCTCTATGAGTGGTGAGTGGGGAGTGATACCCCATATGTTCGCTGCCGTCCTGTTGAAACACCCAACAGAACCACGTGTCCCACCATCAACATAGCACATTACATACAAAGACATAATAAGTGACTGTTTCAAAAATCATATTTTTCATATTATGAATTTTTAGACTGAATATCGGTCAGGCTTTCCATTATGTCCAGTAACATTAAGTAATCGTTTTCTTTACATGTGTACACAGTCGAAGAAAAACATACGAAAGCTTTACTTTTCAGTTATCAATAATAACTTTTGGACATACTAGTATATAGTTTGGGAAAACATTAGAAACATACCACCCTTCTTCGCACACCTGTCTATTGTCTCTAGACCAGATACGCCTTCAGCCTTGTAGAACAAACTTTTACTTAACACGAGGTTATCACGTCGTTACCACGTGGTATTTTTGCTGATTGTGAATGTCTTCAACATATCAATATCTGTAGAGTAATGGTATGTCAATAGTGACCATCAGCGTCTGTGATATCAAATTCTGCAGATGGTCCTGTTGGTATATGTGCAATCGGATTTCCAGTGGGTGGTCACACAATTAGCACTGTTCCAGAATGTCGGACGCTACCCACGTTATCGACGTTACTGAAAATCAACATGCATCTTTAATTTCTTGAAGCTCGGAGACTATATAAGTTTCAGCAATTGTCTGGAGGTACAGAGTACATCAAGATGTCTCCACGTGCAGTGATCAGCTTGCTGGTGGTTTGCCTCTGTCTGGCCTCCACAGAAGGAAGAGCATTCAAAGTAAGTGTAGTACGCGGCAACTTATCTAACGTTGTACCGAATGCCATGATTTACACATAAACTGTGTTACTGTCCTCTTCAGTACAACTGCAGTTGGTCGTCATTCAACTCATAGCTTACAACTGTGACAAACAACAGTACGCCAGTTACAGAGAGCAAAATATCCATTCTGTCATGCAACGATAAATAATTGTAGAAATATAAAAGAATTGGATGTTTCTTAACTTCTTTTGAGTAGATAATCTAGATCTCTATTGCAGAACGAAACACGTAATGTCATTGTTCACACTTATGTTATGTATAGTTTATAAGTCGTGTTCGGCTAAAAAGATCAAGAATTCTTGGCTGTTAAAACTTTTAAAGCGTTTTTTTAATGAGTGATATTTTGCAGTGTCATGAGATCATACTGAGGTTATCAAAAAGCCGTTGAATATACAAACCATACCTTTATGGGTGCTTCATACATCCACAGTCAATATATATTATTTTTCTCCAACAGAATGAGAAAGCACGGTTCAAGCGACAAGCTGGAAGTAGTAAGTTCACAGCTTTAACGGGCTAAAAAATGAAAACGCAGCTAAATATGAAACGCCCGAACTGTTTGGACTAATCTACGTATAACATTGATCGAGTTTTGATAGATGTGTTGGTACAAGGACCCTGAATGTTTCTTCTGAAGGTCGCGAGTCGTATCATGTGATGCAAAGAAGCTGAGGAAGTATTTGAAAAAGTGGTCCAAAATCTATGTTAACAGTTACAAAGCGTCATTAGTTAACCGATTCCGGTTTCTACATTTCAATGTGGTTATTTCACACAAATAAAAATGAAAATAAAAAAAGTATATGAATATTTAAATGATTTCAAGGTGTATATATTTCAATGAGTTTTGATCAATTAGTTCATAGTTTGAAGTCTGATGATATTTTGATGAATACAATATGTACCTCTATTAATACATCAAGTGAATATACATGAACGTGTTTATGATATCGTTCAACAGGGACCTATCATTCATGGGTATTTTACCTGAGGATGGACCTTGCATTTGAAAGAGAGGTACAACGAGAACTAAGATCTACATGAAGACCAGCACATATTTTGATAACATATATGTTCAGTCCGTTTATTAAAATGTGTTCAAATAATCTTCCATGATGTTCAGGATGTGTTGGGGGCGTGAGGGAAGATCTCATTGGAGAGATAGAGTTTGGCTCTGGTCAATACCAAAACAACGAAGACTGCTGCTTCGAGCTCCGTCCTTACTTTGGCGGTTCTTTCACGGTCGATCTGGAGTTTAGTGTCTTTGACATTGAGCAAGGTCCTCGCTGCAGTTATGACTATGTTACCTATGGAACAAGTGACGGTATTACCGAGATCGACTGTGGCACGAAGGATTTCGGATACATTAGATCGTGTAAGGAAGAATATATTTTCTTTTGGTTTTCTTTTCTTCTCTTTGTTTTGCAAAGTGTTAGAATTCACAAGCCTGACTCCGTTGTCAACGCAACACGTTGCGGCAGTATACCTCAAGGATATACAACAATATTCACATCGAGTAGTCAGTGGCACACTATTACCATATACGTTTTATATTTATATGCTCAAAGTACTTATCCGTCAAATTGTTTTTAAAATGGCCATATAGAAATACTTGTTTATCAACAATACCTTATTCAGATATAGAAACCTTACACAGACCTATCAATCTACCGGTTTGTCATGTGCTGTAAGACTCACCATTGCAACAACACTAAATAGACATCTTGCATTATACTCCAATCAGCAACTTACTTAATAATGATTGATTGTACCATGTTGGTTTTTCAGTCAACAGTACGGACAGTTTCCAGTTGTGTTTCCATAGTGACGCCTCTATTGTTGGTCGTGGCATCAATGTCTTATATATCACTCTCCCAGGTATGTACATACTGTATTGGTTTAAGAACGCAAAACAAATTTCAACTTCCATCGTTTTTCTGTATGCAAAAGGTATGACGTCAAATTCCAATATATTCTAAATTTGTTTTCATGGATACAGTATCCGAAGAAAATAGTTCTCTGCCAGCCTTAAACTACAGCACCACTCCATCCTTGAACGTGACAGCCTCGCCTTCCCTGAATTACAGCACCGCTCCGTCCTTGAACGTGACAGCCTCGCCTTCCCTGAATGCAACATCTTCTCCCGAAACCACCGGAAATGAATCTCGTAAATATAGTTTCATAGTTGATTTTAAGGCTATATATGAAACAAGAAACTTTTCCCTTTCTCTGAACTTTGTCTCATCGAAAATGAAGGCACAAATCGTGACAACTACTCTTCCCGACCAGCTTTTCGTCAGTGGGTTTAAGTAATACGTTGAACCACGGAGCGGACAGGAAAGCATTTGAATATTTATTTGAATGAAAAAAAACAACTTTTCCATAACGATAAGCCCATTGTGAGATTCCGATCATATCATAAGCATGTGTTTATGAACCACTTCCAAATAATGAGGATACTAGGTGTTAACGAACAGATGAGCGTAACCGACTGACACCATCACAAACACATGCAAAGACAAGTCATATGCTCATCTGAAACAAACAGGTACATATGATACAACTGAAATAAGGAATTGCATCAAACATCATTTTTTTAGATATCCTACCATAAAACTTTTGAAAGTTTTACTGATGCCATGACTGTATTAACCCTGAAAAAAAAACCTTTGAGCAAGAGTCGTATGACGCTCTTCAAAATCTTAGGAGAAAGAGCATGCTTGATTGAGAAATGGAGATAAACATTGTAATATTGCTCGCTCGTATCGTAGTATTGTGATTACTGATTATGCATATATCTAAATATAAAACAGATGTAGCGGTTTCACTGGTATCTATTATTTCCGGCTCTGGTGAGCAAATCAGGTAATTGGTAATTGGTTATTTGACAATTATTCAAAGATATGAAATCATTAATATACCTGAAGCGTAAGTTATATACCCGAGCATAAATCCTGACTCGTATGCATTAAAAACAGATGAGGTAATTTCGAGGACAACTGGTACCCATGGGGTTGCCTACTACTTGTCTACATTTCACACAGATATTTTATACATGTATGAGAAAGTCCAACATTTCACATTTATGACAGAGATTCGGTTATGCATTTCCTAGGCCATGCTATATTTCCCTCTTGGTACGGATTTTTATGAATTCATCAGACTTATTTCGAGTAATTTATGATATGACTGTATTCTGAATTGACGAGATGTCGTCGTCCATGTCCCATGCATTGAATGACAACATGCAAACATACATGCTACAAGACTATTCTGCTGTCTTCCCCTGATAGAAGCCTATCTTTGTGTTTTAGTGGGTGTTCCCAGGAGCCATCGCAACTGCACCTTCTCTACCCGGGCTGACCATGGTATGATCCAGAGCCTGCCTGGTACAGGGGAGGACTACCAGAACAACCTCAACTGCAGCTACGTCTTCAATGTGCCCAGGAACAGCAGTATTCACTTCAACTTCACCACCTTCGACCTCGAGGGCGGTAATGGATGTCCCTACGATTATGTTCGGATCAATGGTGGACGAAGATGGTGTGGAAGTACCATTAACGGGAGGCAAGGTAAGCTCAGAGAAGTGGTCAATATCAAATGAGAGTTCAACGTCGTAGTAACGCACTACATGAAATCAAAACCTTCACTAGATATTTATTTTGATTTGGGTCTCTTGTCAATAGGTTCCACTGTTTCTGTTACAGTGAACGAAACTGGTGAGGTTGTGCTGAGATTTGTCACTGACGGTTCAGTGACAAGCAGAGGTTTTGTGGCTCGCTTCAACATCATGATGGGTACGATACACTTCTGAATGTGTGGCTATGAAAAAGATATATGATCGAGTTCGTGAGTTCGTCAAAACGTTGTCAGAAGATTTACCATTAAATAACAGACTTCTGAATACGAAGATCATTGAAGATATGTGTTTTGTCATCTCATGACTCATTACTGTGTGTATGTATTCACACACAAGTTATATTTGAGTCTTTTTATCTTTTTTCCTTTACATTTTACTTTACTTAAGAAAATGGAACATCTCTGAACACAACAGTCGCACCAGCCAACACGACCGTCGCACTAAGCAACACCACCGTCGCACCAGGCAACACCACCATCGCACCAGGAAACACGACCGTCGCACCAAGCAACACGACCGTCGCACCAAGCAACACGACCGTCGCACCAAGCAACACGACCGTCGCACCAAGCAACACCACCGTCGCACCAGGCAACACGACCGTCGCACCAGGCAACACGACCGTCGCACCAAGCAACACGACCGTCGCACCAGGCAACACGACCGTCGCACCAAGCAACACGACCGTCGCACCAAGCAACACGACAGTCGCACCTGGCAACACGACCATCGCACCAGGAAACACGACCGTCGCACCAAGCAACACGACAGTCGCACCAAGCAACACGACCGTCGCACCAGGCAACACGACAGTCGCACCAGCAAACACGACAGTCGCACCAGGCAACACGACCGTCGCACCAGGAAACACCACCGTCGCACCAGGCAACACGACCGTCGCACCAAGCAACACCACCGTCGCACCAAGCAACACCACCGTCGCACCAATGAACACCACCGTCGCACCAGGCAACACGACCGTCGCACCAAGCAATACGACAGTCGCACCAGGCAACACGACCGTCGCACCAGGCAACACGACCATCGCACCAAGCGACACGACAGGCGCACCAGGCAACACGACAGTCGCACATAGCAACACGACCGTCGCACCAAGCAACACGACCGTCGCACCAGGCAACACGACAGTCGCACCAAGCAACACGACAGTCGCACCAGGCAACACGACAGTCGCACCAAGCAACACGACAGGCGCACCAGGCAACACGACCGTCGCACCAAGCAACACGACCGTCGCACCAAGCAACACGACCGTCGCACCAAGCAACACGACCGTCGCACCAGGCAACACGACAGTCGCACCAGGAAACACGACAGGCGCACCAGGCAACACGACAGTCGCACCAGGAAACACGACAGTCGCACCAGGCAACACGACCGTCGCACCAGGAAACACGACAGTCGGACCAAGCAACACGACAGTCGCACAAAGCAACACAACCGTGGAACCTTCCGACGAAACAACATATGGTAGGTCATTGTCATTTTACACACAAATAAAGCCTTCATCTGAAAAGGAAATTCATCGTCTAAATATGTGGAGCTTTGATGGACACATTTAGCTGTTAAATAGTTAGTTGATGGGGGCAGTAGGGTCTTGTAAATATGTTGGTGTCACGTCGCTTATAAGATGAAGAGGAATTTGGTTTCAGCAACTGAAATATTAAAAAGGAACAAATTGTTGAACAAACGCCACCCGCTATGTTATGATTTTCTAAATGCATATTATTTGCATTTTCCTACAAACACGGGACAAAGTTTAATTCCTTGATCAGGGTATAGTTCTTTATGGAAGCTTGAAGTTGTACGGTTCCAGCTCAATACTATTATGATCATAAACAACCTGTGAGTCATGTAAACGGTTTTTGTGTGTTTTTATCATTATTTATACTTTCATAATAATTTCCATATTTATGACACAGGATTTGGGCCTTGTCAATATATCCCACACATTGTGACTCATGTGTTATTTTTAGAGGAAAGAAACTCGCAGTTCTGCCTTCAGTTGTGCTGTTACATGCATGACGTCAACTTTATTTAGTGGAAAAGCCCAAGGAAAACATAGATGACCAGAGCAAGAGTTTGTCCCCAAAGTTACTTGATTTGAGAGTTGGCAAACGTGTATAATGATGCAAGTTCCCATCTCTCATTGCAGCCTGCAACTACGACACTGCCTCCCTCGAAGGCAGAATATCTCTGGCAACTGGTATTGATGGTTTCTACGCAAACAACGAAGAGTGCCGCATCAATCTATATTCACCTGCTCTTCCCCACGTGACCACGGTCAACTTCACACGCTTTGATGTTGAATATAATAGCAACTGTCGTTACGACAGCCTGTCAGTGAAGCTTGGAAACAACACCATCGACACACTATGTGGAAACAACAGAAGTCCCTTCGTGAAGCAATGTAAGCACACTGCAAGTGTTAATATCAATGTTAACACAGGTACATTAGTACATTTATGCATGTGTCTTCTGATATCGCCTTTTAGCATATGCATATTTGTGTCCCCCGCCCTTATATTGGTATACTTGAGATGACAGAAACAAGATTTTTCACATCACTTTTATAAATTCAACTCCTCTGTTTTCTGATAAAGATTTCTATAATCCAGACTCTAACGCAGAGCCACTCCTCGCCATGACATTCGTCAGTGATTCGAGTGTTTCGGGTCTCGGTTTCGCCTTCGACTACCAGACTGAAGTAGGCAAGTACAACCTTCGCATCACATACTTAATAAACCATTTACATTAACGTATATTTATCATTGTATCATGCCCCAGAGACCATTCAGATGAACAAATATTGTGATCATTTTAAAATGAATTGTTGGACGAACTTTCAAATTGATTTCATCTCAGCCAAACAGGCGAATATCACCTCACAAGCATTATTCCGCTTTCCTCCTTGGCATTGCACTTTTAATAACCCCAAGCCCTCATTAACAGGAGAGACACTTGTTTGACCCCAAGATCCCAAGCTCAGTTTCGTCTGGTCAATGACACTAAACTAAGGACATGAAACTACTTTTAGGGTGTTCTGCCTTTTTATCGAATTCAGAGTACTGTAATGCTGTGATCAATGGTACATCCGGGTCATTCGCAACCCCCCCTGGTGGCTACAGTCCCAACATGGCATGCACATACACCATCAACACTCCCACGCCAGCTGAACTCCACTTCACCTTCGAGGAATTTGACATTGAGAGTGCAAGCAGATGCATGTACGACGCCGTCACCATGGGCGAAGACAGACTGTGTGGAAGCAGCCCCGGCAGCAAGACATACCGTGAGTGTAGCTCACTTTCCACCTCTGTAATTTCTGTTACATGTTCATCATTTCTGCTTTCCGTGACCTTGAAACAACTGATGAACAAGAAACACTAAAATAGAAACAGTTTTAGTTACTTTGACGTATTTTAAGATTAAAAATAAAACGCTTAACCTAGCATACTTTCACATATGAATTTCTTTCTGTAAAACCTGTATTAGTACTTCCAGTAACTTTATGTTTATTGCTGCTCAGAATCTGATGGAACCTTTGTGATCACCTTCACATCTGACGGCTCCGTGCAAAGGGAAGGTTTCTACATGTCCTTCACATCATCGCCAGGTGAGCTTCGCACATATACTAGTAAACGATATGGATCCGGTAATACAAGTTTATTTGTATAGAAGTGTCCATAAATTCAAGTCTAAAATATAATTTTTAACAATTTCTTTGTTTCAAAAACGTAAACATAAAACTATCTTTACAAATTGTGGAATCCACAATCAAATTTATCATATTTGATGTGGGTTTTTTTGTAAACAAGATACACTGACACATACCTTTTAACTGATATTCCTATTTTCTTTTACGCAGTGGCATAAACAGACTGACCTACACAGCGAGATCTAGTTGACAACAATATGAGTAAATAAACTCCATGTGCTCTATATTTATATTTCATCTCATTATTTCAATGAGTTAATGACGCTTTGAACTGTAAATTAACTCATCACGACGTCTTTCGTCTAAAAGCTGCAATTCGCTATGCAGAGTTGTGACCAGAGACCGCTGATCGTCGGTTCGAATCCAAGATTCACCCTGATTATGTTTCTAGTCTTATGTTTCTTGTGTGTTTCACCACAGAGGCAAACGTCTGAGACCTGCATCACTTTGGGTTTTCTGATCACAAGAAGCTTACACGCCGTGATGTAGCTGAAATACTCTTCAAAGCGGCGTGGGGCACGGGTGGCCCAGTCGTCTTAGGCGCCGCGATTCGCTGTGCAGAGTTGCGTCCCTTGGGCATGCCAGAAACCTATGATTGTGGGTTCGAATCCCGGTTCGCCCCGATTATGTTTCTAGGTTTGTCAGCACCATACCCGTGCTCGTGGGTTTCACCGAAGTGGTAAACGTCTGAGACCTGCATCACTTCGGGCTTTCCTCCCACATTAAGCTGACACGTCGTGATATAACTGTAATACCGTTAAAAGCGGCGTTAAGACAAACTAACTCACTCACTCACTCAAAGCGGCGTTAATAACAACTCACACACTCAATCATAAAGTCTATAAATATGTTACAAGTCTCTATTTATCTTTCTGATGTTGGAGAGTCCAGCCATGGGCCTATTGGAATTCATTGTGAAGGTACATACAATCCGCCATAGGGCACTATATGTAAAAACAGGCGCATCCACAATGGCAAAATATCCATAAGGATAGGCCTGGGAGACGAACTGTAACCCGGACCGCCGATTCCCAACACGACACAGACCGCAGACTGGCGTGTCTCCAGCTAACGCCACTACAGTTTGGCTTTATACCGTTCTTTCACGCTTTCGTTATGCTCTGTGTGCATGTATATGAACACGTGGGCCCACATGTACAGAGCAATCTTAGTTACAAGCGATCTTAGGCGCCGAAGATCAACTTTAGAGCCACCATACAACTGTCCTATTCCACTTGCACAAACCGATCTTTGCACGATTGTAAGATGGCTTGGGATTCAGTTCGAATTCTTCAACGATGGAGATACGATTATCTTTAACTTGACTCCCGTCTACAGGTATCTGCAAATGCGCAAAGGTTGGTGCTTATACCAATAGTGGAACCGGTTACGACACACAACACGAACCTCCTTCCATCGCACGTTGTAAAGTTTTACTAAAGGTCCCAATTATGTGATGAAAACAATGAGTAGGATTATGTCATGTAGGTTTTTTTCTGTATTGATACTGCAGTGATTTGTGAATTTGACACCACAACAAGAGAAATACCTACCCATCTTTCATGGAAATATTGAAATAGGAATAAATACATGCATAAATTTGGCTCCAGGTTTAGTGGCATAATCATTGTGCAGTATAAGCAGTAATAATTTCCCTTATAACATAACACGTAAATGTAGGATTCGCCAATGGTTGTTATAAGGTCACTAGTTTATACGCATCTATTTGGGGGAGGGGAAGGCTTTTCGTAAAATCCTAAATATATCCTATATGTATAGATTTTGCTGCTATAATAAAAGATGCTATGACTACTATGGGATTGTGAATGAAAGGGAAATAGGAGTAATATATAATATTTCGGGAAAGCAGTTGTTTAATATATAATAACTGGGTATCAATTACTGAACAAAATTACATTGATAATTTTAGCATATTTTAAATGTGAAATATGCTTTTGCTTTTTATAAATTATTTAACAAAAGTACAAATGTCATGTGTATGTCCTTGTTTGATAAATACTTTTATTTAATATTCATAAATTAAAACTGAACGTCACTGGTCCCACTGCGTAATTTCGCACTTCAACTTGTATTTAAATGTAGATTATTTTCATGATAAACTGAAGACAAATCGCAGACAGTAATGTGACCCAAAAGAAATATAGGCAGAGCTCAAAGATTTTACAACATTATTACATTAATTTACGTACTGCTTACATTCAACACGCAGCCAAGTGACTCGTGACTTATTATCTTGATACACGTACAGTTCACATTCAACATGCAGTCCAGTGACATAGGACGTATCTTGATACACGTACAGCTTACATTCCACATGCAGCCCAGTGACGTATGTCTTATTTGATCCACGTACATCTTACATTCCACATTCAGTCAAGTGACATAGGACTTATCTGGATACACGTACAGCTTACATTCAACATACAGCCCAGTGACATATGGCAGCCCAGTTGAGTAGGCTATGCGTGAGAGAGTGAGTGAATAAGAGAGGGAAAGAGGGCGAGAAGGGTGGCTTACTAATAGAGTAGCGGCCAACCCTTAAAACGAGGCTTATTTAAGGAGTAACCCCTCATCACAGTAGAACAAAGGACAAACATATTTTTCTTTGATTTCTTTTGGTGGCAGACATGTATTTAGGTGGTAAAATGCATAATTGTGTCTAAACAAGTCAGTTTGCATATTGCAATGTTCATTTTATAAACAAAATCAGTGTGCTGACTTAGGAAACCTACAAATGAATAATTAGCAAAATTATCAAAGTCGAGTTATGGGCCAAAATGTGTCAAAAACAGGAACAAATTACTCAATTTTCAAAATATTCCAAAACTAAAGGTAATGTTACCTCCATATTGACAACCATGTCGTGTCATATCTCAAAATCTGCCTGAATGTTTAAGGAACTTACAATAATATCCACAATTAATGTAGGTATAATATAACGTATGAAAATTTAGTAAATATGATTCGGACCCCCATCCTGTGAAGGAAACAACAAATAATAACATACTTTAAAAACTACTATGACAACACTAACATTCTTGTACACCAATGTGTTTATTTGAACAAATGAATTGCTTAAGTATCTTACATATATGAGCTTGAGAAATTTGATTTATCCAATATGGCGGACAAAATGGCCTCCAAGATGGCCGCCAAGACCATGGTCGTCTTCACTTGGAATGTATGAATACCTTAAATGTCAAAATTTGGGTTTCGACAAGGAACTATATCTAGCGTGTTATTGTCATATATAAGATAATTATCGCCTGTACTATGTACTATAATTGCTGATCATATTGACTTACTTTGAAGTGCCAATGTGAAGTACTCATATGCTTACCGTAAAAGGCGACTATGCTTGTCGTAAGATGCGACTAACGGGATCGGGTGGTCAGGTTCGCTGACTCGGTTGATGCATGTTATCGTATCACAATTGCATTGATCAATACTCATGTTGTCAATCACTGGATAGTCTGGTCTAGACTCGATTATTTTACAGGTCGCCGTCATATAGCTGGAACATTGCTGCGTGCGGCGTTAAACAACAAACAAATAAACAAACAAACACTTATATGCAACTGCTTCAATATTGTCAGAAACTCTTTACCAAATCCATTATTTTTCACAATGCAGTATATAAGATACATATAGTCTCTGCCACTACTGAACTGTCACTCAAGCCTCAGGTTCAAATGACATGTGATCTGTCACTGCAGGTGAGATGAGTGATATATCTGCAGCCATATTGTCGTCTGAAACATGGCTCTCAACATGTGTTGCTTGAAAGCATCTTCTATAGGTGTCAGCAATGTTGAGAAAGCTGTCTTCTTTGAATTTCATCACCATGGTCATCACCATAAGAATATCATGTTTCACAATGTTCTAGATCACACTTACCAGCGTGTAACTGCCTTTCACGATTCACTTACAAATAAATTACAGAGAATACCTAGTCCAGATTAACTCAGCTCAGTGCAATTATGCTGTATCGTTAATCTACACAAGAATGTGAGTTCAAACAATTTCCATAAGATCTTATCCTTATCAGTATCTCAGCTAATGTTTAGTCATATAATATGATCTCTGTCTTCATATTAGAGGTGGGCACACTCCACCGACCCACCCAACCCTCTCTCTAACCCTCTAAACCGTTTAAACAGTTTTGGTACTTGGTATATCATGCTCTGGGATGCTTACAATACGACAACATCAACACCAAGCAAGAGCTTAAACATGTCCGATCAAATATGGACATTTCTACAATCCTTGCTTGCTGCTGTATTTCACAAAGCAAAGCGATGAAATATTCAGATAATCAAGTAGTTAATGTCTAAATGTGTTTCGATTGGACATCGCACAACAGTTGACATTTCTCTTCTGACTATTCCAGACGTACCTCGTGGTGACTCGCGAGCGGGAGGGGGTAACTAATGAATGGCACCATAACTATATTCCACACTTTTCATGAACATGTTATGTTCAAAGCATGTTGATATTTTGGGATATTGAGCCCCTGACATGTGATAAATGTCATTAACGTGTAGAGTTAAAACACACAAATATTGTTTTGTTCCTTTCAGCGATATTTATCCAAAGCTAAGTATGTTTAAAACCTAACACATTATTACAGTATATAAATGTGGTAACATCTTATAGACACGACCCTTAAAATTCAGTATTGCAGAACATAACAGAACAAAATATTTTTTTAAAGTTTTAAAATGTCAACAACCAGGCTCGACTGTCCGCAAATACAGATTCCCTTGGGCGTAAAAGCCAAAACAGCCAAAGCGAAAAATGATATGAATAGATCGCTGAAAATCAGTGAAAAAAGGTACTGTCCTGCCCTACCGGTAACACATGCCACTCATACAATTGTATGTTGCCTTCCATGCAACAGTTGTCTTTAAAGAAACCAAACGTCAAGTAATGTACCAGATAGATAGTCCAGTGACACCATTGTGCATTTACTGCTTTTTGTGGAAAGTAAAAACCGATATGTTAATTTTTAATTACGTCTTCCGTGAACAAGTTCAGAAGTGTGTTTGGGACGGCACATGGCAACATAACCACAATATTGTTCTATGGCATGAGTACAGATATTTCTCGGTTACATCTCGATCATATTCATTTTTTGTTACTTTTGACTACATTTGAAGTCGAATTAATGCTATGAAGCAGAGAACATATATATGTACCTGCA